GGGCTCGGAGGTGTCTGCCTGGTGGCTCCCAGGTGCCGGGGACGGGCCTGGGGACAGCCGAGCGCCCCGCACGCACACGGTGGGAGCCGCCTGCAGCCGCAGCTCCTGGGATCCTGCCACGGAGCCCGCCCGTCCCCCGTCCTGCCTGTGTCCTGCGCCATCGCCCCAGAGCCGGGGTGGGAGGACGCTTTTCAACGGCAGATTCAGCCCTTTTCTGAGACGAGCCTCGGAGATGGCGCAGGCACCACCTATTCCCTGCTCTTCACCCTCGAGAGCCCCGGGGCGTCACTTTGGGGCTGTCCCTGCCCACGATGTCGTCACGCAGTGAGTGGGCGCCGGCCGCCTCCTGCTCCCCGCCGTCCTCCCTGTCGCTCCTCATGCACCTGCTGTGGGCCGGGCTGTGTGCTGAGCTGTCGCCCCGTTTCCTCTAATGCTGACATGGCACTGCACAGCCCGCGTCCCCCGCAAGGGCACGGACGGCCCGACAGGTTGGGCATCTCGCCCCGGCAGGGACCAAAGGCAGGACCCGCGGTTTCGGCTCAGACACCGAACCGCCCATTTCCAGAGCCCTGATTCGGACGGGTCGTTTTTTACATCTCCCGTGTCCCTAATTCCACCTGGGGTCGGTTCCTACCGATTTCTCCGCAGCACGGGCTTTGTCACTCCTGGTGACTTCTGCCTGGATGGGGACAGCCCTTGAGACGGGCCCTCTGTGTGCCTGTGGCTGTTCTCGAGCTCGTCTGGGGCCCAGCCAGGCTAGGAAACTCTTCGGCCCTTTGCAAGTCGCTTCTGAGCTTTCAGAGTGGGCCACAGCCGTCTCCCCTGTGGGCGACCCCACCTCACCGCCGGCGCGGCGGCCCTGTGCACACTGCACCCCACGCCCGTGACAACAGCGTTTCCGGCTCTGGCAGGCCACAGGGAAGCCCCTCGAGCGGGGCCGAGGGCACGGAGAACTCGGAGCTCCGCACGGCCGCCGGGGTGTGCAGCGGTGCGGCTTCTATGGGGAGCAGCACGGCGGGTCCTCAAAGAATTAGAAATAGGACCGGCCTGTGGCACAGCAGCCCCTCTGAGCACCGTCCAGAGCAGTGACATCCAAACCGCGTTCACAGCAGCCGAGGGGGAGGCAACCCACGCGTCCCTGCACAGACGGACGGGCGAGGGGACCGTGGTCCCTCCACGCAAGGGACTGTCATTCAGCCTGGAAAAATAGGAGGTCCTGTCACCTGCTACGGCACGGAGCAGCGTGAAGACGCTGCCGGGCGAAGGGAACCGGTCACGAGAGACACAGGCACCGTGCGAGGCCACGCGCGCCAGGCGCCGAG